AAAAAATCACGGTTTTAGTAACGCAGTAACGCAGCGTTCCTAAAAAATTAGTTATTGAAAGTAACGGTAAGTAACGGTAATCTAATTACCGTTTTTGCAATAGTAATCCCTTACTTTACTCGTTACTTGAAAAAAGTAATCTGATTACAGTAACGCCCATCTCTGATTGCTACAGAAGAATATTTATTTTATTATTTTACATTTACAATTTTTTTTCCTGGGGACCCTGTGACACCCCATTAAAGAGCCGTGGGCTGGATCTCTTAAGATCTGTTGGGTTTGTAAGGCCATGTTACTCCTAAATTTCTATCTTGTTCAAAGAGAAGATATAAAACAAAGTTCTAAGCTAATCGACCTTAGTGTTCTCCTTTTTTAAAAAGAATCGATAAAGAATCGAATCGTTAAACAGAATCGAAAATGGAATCGGAATCGTGAAAATCTTATCAGTACCCATCCCTACATATAAGACTGCATTGCTTCTCACTTTGGTTTCTGCAGAGTGAGTGGGTCACCTTCATGTGTCTGTTGACCTTCATGCTTTGTCTAAGCATCCCTCTGGCACACAGTTCTCTTGGCCTCAGGGTTCTGTTGCGCCTGAACACTGCATATTTACCCAGGGTTATTCCTGCAGCTTATAGCTTTATGGAATTTGAGCTTCTGAGCTTTTGCTTCTCTCCTTCTGCATCTGAGGAGCAGAGGAGTTTCCATTGTGTGTCCGTTGCGTGTGACCACACTCAGAATGTGCAATGTGTGACCTGCCAGCTCTGTCTAAACAGAGACTCACTCTCCTGCTGGATTACAGAAGCTCATCCGTCTACAGCACCAAAGGTCTTGCTTTGCCTCAGGATGTGAGAATGGCAACCTCGGTGTCTAGTCTGTGGGAGGTGTATATATGTCCCATACTATATGTGATGTACCATATAGTGAATCAGCTGTGAGGTTCAGTATGTTCCCCAAACCACCGACCTTTCAATTAGATGACCTGCTGCAGCCACCCCAGCGTCAGTTAAATGCGATGAATGTAACTAGTTTAACACTAATTCAAAGGTAAAGATTCAGAATGAGATTGATTTTATTTTTAAATAGACTGCTTGAAAAAGTTAAAGGAACACTTTGAAAATACATCAGATTTCAATGGAAAATAAAATTAATTCCTTCACTTAGGCGGCCTCAGTGTGGTTCTGTTGGCTTCAAAGCGTCTGGCAGTGACATGTATTGATGTGCCATCCTGAAAGAGCTGGACTACCTGTGGAATCTCTCTGTGATCTACACACCCTGTCAGGCTACCAGTAGTGACACTGACCCAGCCAAATGCAAAAATAGTGTGAAAACACTTGGAAAAGATGAGGAGGGTTGAATTCCTGCCATTCAGGACATTTATCTTCAGCGATGCCTTCGAAAGCACACAGCATCATCGAGGACCACAGCCACCCATCAGCTGTTCTCCTCTGGCAGACGTTACAGGAGTCTCTGTTTCTACCATCGAGCCATACGACACCTCAACCACAACACTTACACACACACACAGGACGCACTCAGAAGCTACCTGCAGCTTCACAAGTACTCTGTATAATCTGCACTGCTCACTTCACTTTATTGGTATTTATTTTTAAAGTGCAATACTGTACTAACTGCCACTAAAACCTTTGTGCTGTTCAGTCTGTGCTGCTGCTCATTCCTGCCACTGTGCAATATCCCATTTGCTCCCCCCCATTCCTATTTAAGATTTTCTTTATTTAATCACTAGGGTTTACATAATATTTATATATACATACATATATTTAGTCTGTTATCTATATGTAATTTAGTGCTTTTAAAGTTTGATTTATGTTTTAAATCACGTTAAAGAAAGGACACACAGAGAGCGGTGACAGGGTCTGTCAACAATGGTGACAATGGTTGAAGTTACAAGTCATCTCGGAGGATGTGACACCCAGAAAGAGAGGGGGGGGGGACCCAGTACAAACGTTTGGTGCAGAACAGTTTTCCATCCCACTGTCTTAGAGAAGATTGGATCTCAGAGGTCACAGCTGCTTATTTTCAACACCACAGCCTCCCTGAGTGTTGCTGCTTACTAAGTTCATCTCTTTATGACATGCTGTCCTGCTAGAAGTACACATCAACTGATTAGTGTGGATAAAGTTCAGGTCTGGTTTCTTGAACATGACAGTGGGTTCAGTGGACTCAAACGGGTTCCAAAGTCTTGACCCAAAAGAACACCTTATAAATGGGTTCCAACACATTTGCATCAGTGATGTACGGCTAACAAATCTACAGCATCTGTGTGATGTTACCACGTTAATATGGGCCACAATCTCTGACCAGTGTTTCCAGTAATGTTGAAGCAATTCCATGAGGAATTAAGGCACTTCTGGAGGGTCTAGTCCGGTTCTAGCAAGGTGTTCTTAATCAAAAGGCCAGCGAGTACAAACAGCCTACTTGGCCATGACCGTCCAGCTTTTGTCCGAACTAGTGGACTGGTCCACCAACCGTGCACCTCAGCAGGTTCAGACATACGGTGAGTGTTCAAGGCAACTGAAGTAATCAGACTACAAAAAGATAACAGGTACTGATAGATAGAAAGAACACTTTGTATAAAGTTTAATGTTCACAAAAACAATTAATAGTTTCATGTTGGGTTTTGCTATACCTGCTTCACACTTTCATTGCCTAATCGTAACATCTACTCTAACCAGAAGAAGCCTTTGTTGCTCTTTGTGATACTAGAAGATAAAACTCACAGCAAGCAGCGTTCAGCTCACTGGTCCAGCTCTTAACAACCGTCTCGTGTTGCCTTGTGGTCCCTTGGGAACTACCCACAAATACGTTACAGTTTCAAATATACAAGCAGCAAGTCATAGTGTTGGATAGTTTTTATTCACCAGTTAACTATTTTAATTCACACTGTGACCAAAAACTGCAAATATTTCTCAAGGTAGAGCTAAAGAAGGAGCAAGTGTATATATCATTAATAAAATATAAGTGTGCAACCACGTCTTCAAAAATATATGGTCATAAAATCTAATCATTTCAAAGTGACGATATAACAATGTCTACATGTTTGTGTGTGCATGCCTACAAACCAGATCATGTTTAATTCTGCAGACACAATCCAAATACAGACACAGGAAATGAAAGGTTTTGGGTGGATGAAGCTGATCAGCCATACCATGAACATGTAGGGACAAGTTTTTGAATCCAGGAACAATCAGTGAGCAGCAGAGCAGCGCCACAGTGTTGATGAAAAAATACAAAGAAGGTCAGAAAGATCTAGAGAACGCACGAGAGAGGAAGTGCATGAGGATAGCAAGGCACCTGGGGTCAGGTAAGACAGGTTCATGGTGGGGGTGAGATTATATCAGGGCTGTGAGCCCGTCCTCGTTTGCAGGGGACGGAGGTGGACAGATGAGGTCAGACAGAAGTCTCCATGACTGCAATAGTTGGGATCTGTACTGAGAGTAGGGAGCCGGCAGGTGAGCCCCCACAAAGGTGGAGGTATGTGCTAAAGACACGAGGAATAAATGCTGGGTTTTCTTCCTGGATGGGCAGGATAACATGGGCAGGACATTTGCAGAGGAGGGACGGTGCAGGCAGGAGGCAAAGAGGAAGACCAGAGTGAAGATTGATGAATGTAGAGGAGGACATGCAGAGGGTTGGTGTGACAGAACGAGACGACAGCAGTTTGTTTTTAAAATCCAAAGTCAATCCATTAACCAAATTTTAATAAGTGAGAGTAACAAGAACTTTAAATGAAGTGTGTTCCTGTGCGCATCATTAAATGATTGAAAACAGCTTATTTTTCCTCTAATCTTTTCCTTATCTGCAGCTCAAAAAGAAATACACAACTTCCTTCTTGCATGACTGTTCACAGAGAATATTTGGTCAGTGGCTGAATCCTGAACATCACCTCATAATCACCTGTTTCTTACACAGTAAGTCAGAATAGAACTAATCTCAGGGGCTTTCTTCTTCTTTCCTCTGTTTTTCTTTACAGCTCAGTCTTCTCATCGCTCGCAGAGCTACTGGCAGCTCCACCCTCAGCTTCACCCCTGGAGGCAGAGGGCGCGGTGTCTTTAGGCTGAAACGCCAGTGAGGCAGAATTGATGCAGTATCGCTTCCCTGTGGGTCTCGGACCGTCGTCAAACAGGTGTCCCAGATGAGCTCCACACTGAAGCAGAAAGGAAGAGATTTACTCCTGATCCTGATAAATGGCAACGATATTCTCCACATGACTTTATTTGCATCATTCTGGTGAAAATTCAGTCGCCAAGAACAGAGACTGTTTGAAAGCAGTCTGATTCTGATCCGGTGGCAAATGTTATGCTTTCTAAAAACCCTTCAGCTACATTTTGTTGAGCCTGGGTCACAGTGAACGTAACGACTGGTGAAACATAGAAACATGAGTGCTGTGAGTCACGTTTTTGTGAGTCATACTGAATCTTGGCAAACGTTGATCTGAGAGAAACGATGTGTTTCTGTCTAACTGAAAATAGCGATCAGTAACAGTAACACAGCCTAAAATGATTCAGTGCATGAATACATCTAAGTTTCATCCACTTTAGTGCCCAGTGGGTAGCACCTCGGGCTAACAGCTTGTGTCCCTGTGTTTGTGTGGCTTCCTCCCACAGTCCAAACACATGCAGTGGGGTTAGGTCACCTGGCCCACAGGTGTGACAGTGGATGGTTGTCTGTCTGTGTCAGCCCTGTGACAGACTGACGACCTCGTAGTAGAAGAGTAAACAACAGCTGTTGATGACGAGTTTACCTGACTGCAAGTAGCCTCTACTCTGTGCATCCCATAGGAGAAGTCATCAGCCTTAGTAATGGATTCCTCCTTCATGAGGTCGCTGAAGGATGGCCAACCTGTAACCATGACAGCATCACGTCGTCTAGTAACAACACGCTGCATCATCATCTGTAACATTGTAGCTACGTTTGTCTGTCGGAGTTACTGTGAATCTCTTTTACAGAGTCGGTTGTTTGTTTACATGAAGTGAAACTTTGTTTTCTACCAAACCAGCTCAGAGCTTTTAGTCAGAAGCAGATTTAACGATATTTATTTTCATATTCATGGACCTGAAAACTTTACAACAATGCATAACAAAGGAGACATCCAGCCAAGTGTAATGAGCATCACTGAACTACGACGCACTACAGCCACGTATGATTGTGTTGATCCACAGTTTAATTCTCTCTGTTCAGCAGCTGTAAAATATTCATCTTGTTTGTCTAGTGGAAATAAACTATAATAACAGAAGTGTTGGACCACACCGTATTGTTATTGATGTGTTTATAAAAGTTGTTCCAACATTTACAAAAGACTGATAAACAAGTCAGAAACTCCTGCGGCTACACGTCTGCCTGTTGTTGACCGTGTCCCACATTCAGCTTGTTTCCTGCGTGCTGTACAGTATCAGTTTAAGGCAGTAAGAGCTCGTTCTTAGCACACACGTAGCTTTACATACAGTACATTCAAATAATCTTTTACATTTTTAAAATGTGAAGTTTAACTTACCTGATCCGGAGTCAAATTTAGAGTTGGAACTACGAGAGAAAATAAAAATGCCATGAAGCAAAATACTGGTTTGTGTCTTATTCGCCATATTATTTTAAACTGTAGTGGCGTGCTACGTCTCCTACTGTCAGCTGTTCTACTGACCTTTACGTTTTTACCCCACAGCCATCAAAAGCTGATGGCGTACTGGCGACCTCAAGTACAAGGTCAGAGGTCAAGTTTTCAGAAATTCTTGTGAATGTGACAACTGAAGGAGGAAGTCACCTGGGATTTTCACATTAATACCAAAGTTACATCTACTGAAACTCTCAGATGAGCTTGACCAGAACTATGCTATGATTTCACCTTTATCCCACAGGTGCCCGTGTACAGAGGCCGAGGGGCAGCAGGCGAGTACGTATGCACACGGCAGCACCGAAGCACTGCGCTAACAGTCACACACAACAACAAACAGCAGGGCAGTCTTACCTGAACAGGGCCGACCCACAGACGACACAGGCGTAGGTCCCTTCATCTGTTTGATACGTGAACTCTCCACTGAAGGCGCTGTGGAAAAGAACGAAGTGAAACTTCACGACACTGACTTCATTTAGCTGTGATGCACTTCAGTTCGGACCTTTCAGCGCACTGAGGCGACTGTTGTTGGAACTGTGTAAATAAAACTGATCCCAGTCCTGTTCATGTAACTGAACAACAAGCTGATTGATTTTATCTGGTAATAACTTAGATCAAGTAGTAAAACATCACCATAAATGATGTAAGCAATAATCTGGCAGCTGGCAGCAACTATAAACTGACAGTTTCATGATTTCGTTTCAAATACTGAACGGGTTGAAGTACGGCTTCCAGAGTAACTTCTGTGATTACATCGACCAGGTCACATTTTTTACATAATGAACCTCAGTGGTTTATTTTGAAAGACTAACTTGTACCTCTCAGTTCCTCTTTCCTGGGTCACATGGTACTGCATTGGTGTGAGGCGCTGTCTCAGCTCCTCCTGTGTGAACCTCAGAGGCCATGTCCTTTTAGTCCTACATGCTCCTGAGAGGTCAGGCACAGAGAGCAACAAGTATTAACCACACTGCACACCGTCATATGAATACAAACAAAATGAATACATCTAAGAGCAGGTGGATCAATAACACAGATTGAGCTACAGTTGAGATGAATAAGCTGGATTGTTTACACCTCAACAATCAAAATGTTCCAAATGGATCATATCCACCTGAGAAGCTCTGTATTTATGTACGAACTGAAGGAAAGGTGCAAGGCTTTTACGGAGATGCTCCTCTGGGTTGACAGAGAACATATGTGCATGTTGGTAAAACTGGCTGTCCAGGAAAACAAAAAACACACTGGCACCATTTCAGACTGCAAGAATCTACGAGCAGCATGTGGTGCAACGTCACAAACAAAATCACTCAGTGCATGCAAGCAGCAAGAAAGCCAAGCGGTGAATCGTTTATCTGTTAGACTAGCAGGTCAGAGACTAAAGACGAGTTACAGTGGTTGCACTCATTTTTCAGCCAAATCTAGGACCTGGCAACACATGAAGCAGCTCTTACAGGATGAAGTTTACTGGAAAACACAAACTGGCACCAAGTCTGTGTTTGTCAAACATCTATCAGTGCAAAATCTTGGAAAAATGTAAAGTCAGGCTGACACACCAGGAGTGTTAAAGTTTTAGTGAGGCAAAGCAGAGCAGGCACACAGCACCCAATCAGTGGACCTGAGGGAAGACTGCAGGACCTCAGAGCTACAGGCTGACTCTTGGTTATTAGATGCAGCAGATTGAAGCCCGACATGGATGTTGGAGAAACGTATTCCACCCAGCACTAGAACCAAACACCCCTTAGCAGGGTTGCAACCAAGGACTGGGCTGTATGAAGAGTAGCAGACAGAGGGTGAAACAACATCACGAGCAGTTACAAACGAACAGAGTCTCAGATGAGATGACCTGATGACCCAGCAGAGAATGTCAGACTGCTACAGTACGAGACCACAGGCAACATCTTCTACAATTTAACAGTCGTTTACAGCCTTAAACATTCATGTACATATGAATTCTCTGGTCTCTGAGAGAGGTTATCGCAACATGAGCAGGTCTGCCTCGTTCAAGTACGGGATAACATCAACGAGGCTATCACGTTATAATTCAGACTTTCATAAACACTATCATTACAGAAATGTTAACCTAAGTAAAGAACTGTGCAAAACTCGGTGCAACGACTTATTGAAACATGCAAACAGAAATGAAATACATCATATACGGCACAAGCGACGCGTACAGTGCGACCCCCTTTATTCTCCGCACATCCTGAACGCTCTTAGGCAGTTAATGTCTTGAAGCAGTCTTCAGGAACCCGTCTCTACACTTATTAAAGGACATTACGAGGCTTTCTGGATGTTGACTCCCTTTGATTACGTGATCCCAGACTCCTTTATGACCAATAATGTTCCATCGTGTTTGAGATCACAGTCGTGCTGCAGACTGAATCCAGTCAGAGGCTTTTCAAAAGATACTTGATGGGGATTATAATCTGACAGTACTTTCCTGCCTTCATTATTCTGTTAGCTTTGACAAGACGGCCAAACACCACAAGTGGACAAACCGCCCCAAACAATGACACAGCCTCCCCCACGGTGTCCTGCAGATGGCTGTTATACCTCATTACTAATGACAATTGAACCAAATATTTCACATTCAGATTCCTCGTCCATGACGCCGACTTCATGAACCGTTACTCAATGAGAGCTTGTCGCTGATTTTCAGCAGAGATCTTGTGTAATATGGTTTACCTCAGCGTTTCTGACACGCTGCTAATACAAAGTGCATCAATGCCTTAAAACTGGTTCTTTACCAGGCTGTCCGTCATCTGTAGACACAATATTGGATTAGATCTTTTTTTACAGATGAACTCAGTGCTGTGAAAACAGATACAAGCTTTCTGAAAGTGTAGAAAACTGCTCACAGATGTTTTTAATGTCAGGGAGGCGCGTGGCGTTCCTTGTAGTGATATTCAGCTGTTGACAACTGTCGCGCAGCCTGTTAGTAGGCCCTCGATTGTGCTTCTGCGGAAGGTTGAGGAGATGTTGGCGTTCAAGCCAAACCTCCTAAGCCTCCTTTAGAAAGTATAAGCACTGACACACCTCCCTGACTACACTGTCCATGAGTCCTGGAGATGTCCTTGATAATGTTCCCGTCGAGGAACCTAAGCACCGCTGATGTGGGTGGGCAGGTGTTCTTCTCGTTGGTCCAACATCAACTTCTTTGTTTTGCTGACGTTGAGAGAAACGGTTGTTGTCCTGGCACCAGCTGTTTAGTGCCTACACCTCACCTCTGTAGATTGTCTCATCATTGTATTACAAAACATTACAAGACATCCTGGTGTGTTCAAGCCGTCTTTTACATGTCTTGATGCACGCTCAATCATCCAAGTCAATCCCAGAAGGTTGATTCTGTTCATCTGGATGTTTTCAATGGAGAAACGTTTCAGCATCATCATCATCAGGTGACTGCTTCAGTCTCACCTGGCTGCAGGTTTCCAACCTTATAAATAGGGCTGCCACAAACGATTATTTTGATAGTCGACTAGTCACCGATTATTGTTGCGATTAGTCACTAATCAGATCATCACCCATTGGACGTAAAACTTACAGCTTATTGCACCAGCAGCATCTGCTCTTATATAACTATCATTAGCTTACAGCTTTAAGTGTGTAAGGTCTGTGCTAACTAAAAATAAAGACAAGATGATAGTTTATTAAATTTTAATGAAATTTGCAGATTGTTTCGGTGAAGTTTAATAAACTCCTTGCTATCTAAAATATAACAGGACACCGGAGTAAATTCTCGAGCATCTCACACTTCTGATAATCAGCTGTCTGCTTGACGTTTATTCAGCTGTGTAAAAACTTTAATCTCAGCCAAACCGATTTACTCAGGAACAAATAAAATACTGAAAACAGCCAAACAATATCATTGTTAAGTTATCTAAGTGACTCATATATCATGTTTAACCTGAGTAGTGAAAGACAGCGGTGGGTTTGAAAACGATTTGCCGGGAGTCCGGTGTTCTCACGGCTCTAGTTAGCCTAGCCCCCGGCTAGCTAACGAGCTAGTGGGTAACAGACGTCTCCGAAAACGTCGGAGCGCTTTTGAAAATATGCGGTGTCCTGATAAACTGAGCAGATATTTGAGGTTTACACAGCTACATTCTTACCTGAAAATATGTTAAACGTTTATTTTGTGACCCAGAAAGAATAATAAGAGTAATATTAAAACTAACTCGCTGCCGCCATTGTTGACAACTGAGCTGGGCTGCGCTATGAATTCTGGGACACAGCTTCTTCTTCTTCAGGGTTTAACGGCAGCTGGCATCCTTGTACATGCAGTGCTGCCATCTTCTGTTTCAGTCCGTTATTACACTCTTAAATCCTGCTACTTATTCCTGCGTCTTTTGGGATCTTACAAAGCTTCAAACGACGCGTCGACTATTAAATCAGTCGTCGACGATTTTAATAGTCGACTAATCGTGACTAGTCGACTAATCGTGGCAGCCCTACTTAAAAACAGCACATTTGCATAAAGACTGAAACCAGCACCACTGGCTCTTAAACAGGTCATTATTTAGCTCAAACCCATCCAGCACACTAGTCGCGGCTCTACTGTACGATCGGTACTTTAAGACTTCAAGCCCAGTTCTGGTGACGATGTTTCCATCAGCGGGTCCTGACACATTAAAACCACAGCACTTCAGTAGCCTACTTATCATCTCTTTATAAATGCTTGTGTTTGCAGCTGACACAGCTGTGTGCATGGTTTATGTAGCACTAAGGTGTGTTGATATTTTTGGTCATAATGTACAGTACGTATACGGTATGCTTTTAAGCACTGGATTACATTAGATTGATTGAAACAAACAGCTTCTTGGACTAAATAAGAACCACAGCCAACGTTGGTTATATGGATGATTTTACACCTAAACTAACAGGTTACTCTAGACGAGCAGCAGGTACCTAGACGAGCAGCAGGCAATGCAGGGTGGCAGACTGAGCTGCTACCCTGCCCGAGGGCATGATGCAGGGCCACAAAAAGGCCACGTCTGACGAGGACAGCCATAACAGTCACACTGAAGACAGAGAGAGAGAGAAAAGAGGACTATCATATTTGGATTATTTTATTAACCCCAGAAAACATGTATGAATGGGATCTACTGGCTGTGATTCATAAGTTAAACTGTTTTGAGGTAAGTTCTGTGGGTAAATACTGCTGAACACCAGCATGGCTGCATTTAACTATTTACTATGAATTCTTGTTGAAACAGCTGTTTCGTGGCTGCAGGAGCTGATCCATGTCTCTCTATCACACACACACACACACACACACACACACACACACACACACTCTTCTAATACATTTTGAAATTCATCTTGTAAATTGTGCGTTTGTGTGACATATGTGTTATCGGTAATGAAATACTTTTTATAGTACTGTGTGAACACGTGTGGAAAGCACAGAGTTTTGCTCCAGAGTGGATAAGGGACAGCATTACATACGTCCATTCAAACTGTAAATACAGGTTTCATCTTAGAGCTCTGGGTGCTCCCAGGAACTGCACACCCAGCAGTGGGAGAGCAGCCACGGGGCTGGTGCTTCATGTCGGGAACGCAGCTACACGAAACCCTCCAACTGTGAGAATTCGTGAGATTTTCACCAGATACGTCATGATGGCGACACCTTCTGCCACTAGATGTCAGTTAGGTGTAGCACCGTGGATTACGTCACGAGTGGGATTATGTAACACGCACCACTTTTACCGATATTTGCAGCAAGTATGCACTCAGTAGGAAACGAGGACACGCGTGTTAAAGTTATTCCACACTCCCACCCGTCTCTGCCCGCCGAGCATATCCCCATCTTAATATTCGGTCTTCATTTGGAAACTAAATCATTTCAATGTTCGCCCCGTTTTTAAAATCCGAGTGTTTTACATTCGTACAGTCCCCGATGGACGAAGACATTCCCGGTTTACTAACAACGCGGTAACGTACCAGCGAGGAGCAGCAGCAGGACCGCGACGCTGACGAGCGGCTGGCGGCGGAAGGAGCTCCCCGTGCCGGCGACTCTTCGGAGCATAAGCCAGCTGACGTCATAGGCAAACAGCGGAAGGTTATCGGCGCAACCAAACATGCGTCCGGGTAAAACGACCTGCACATGTCCAATTATGGCCACGACTTCACTCGGCGACTCCAAGCCCCTCCCCCTTCACGGTCCCGCGAGCTGCCGTTCCATAATTCCAACCACGGACGGTATTCCCGGTTTTTCCGGAGTTGTTAAAGCGGCAGCTTTGAATTAAAATAAAATAAAATGTATAAACTCTTTCCGTCTCGCGTACAAACGGCAGAAAACACACACACGTGTACAAATATAAAAACTAATAAACCTTTAATATGAGCAGTTTGTACAATTTACAAATCGCATTAAAATGTCTGAAATTATTTGCAAATCCCAAAGTCGAACCACACCCATACAAGAGAAATCAAACTGCATATAATGGCATATTTGAGTTATATCAATACACAGGGTTTACATAAAACATCAGGTGTATGCGTTTAAGCAGAGGAGCCATCACATGAAACACTGACATGCAGCCCCTGTAATCACTGTGGCGGACACGTACAAAAATAGATTACACTGATGCACTAACAACTGGCTGATTTCTGAAAAGTCTTTATTTATGTTGTACACATCCTGACAATATAAGGTCATCCCTGATGGAGGAAAAGATATTTAACCGGTCCAGCGACATAAGAATATATCAGCTCGGTTGTCAAAAATTAAATAAATACAAGCTTTTGGTTTCATATCAAAAGAAACTGCTACAAAACACCAAATCTCAAGATGTCACGCAGAACTGGCGTTACTCACACTTTAAACAGTTTCTCCATTTGTTAAGCCCGTTACATTATCCAGTAATGCATCACCAGTTCAAAACAATGAAAAGAAAGGGAAAAGGTTTAAGGCACCGTTGGGTCGTCTACTGCAAACTGCTGCAGCAGCCGTTGAGCATTTTAAGTTTGCGCCATCTGTTCAACTTCACACTGCAAAAAGGAAAACGCTCATTGTTCAGACCACCTGGAATCCTTGGCCTCCTTACAGTCTCTGGAATATTTGGAAATTAGTATTCTAACCTGTAAAAAACGTGATAGTGCTTTAGAGACAAACCAGTGGTTGTATCAGTACAAGAGGCTGACAGGTGAGGAAACACGCTCAGTTCTGTAGGCCACGCATGTAAAGACCACACGCTGGCGCATTAACGACCCAACACGTAAGAGGGGAAACAAACAAGAGAAACAAAAAGATTCGGGTATATAAAGGACTATAACAAGAGACGAGAGCTCCAGGTGAATGTTAAACACTTTGCTATAACAGCAGAGTACTGGGGCGCCCCGCGGGCTGCTGTCCCCCAAATCGAGCCCAAAGAGTGGCTGAAAAACCAAACGCAGCGACCACGACGCGACCGACGCTCCGCTCTTCCAGCTAAACCTCGTGCATCCTTGTACTGCCGAGCGCGGCGTGAAAAATGTGCGCCGAAGGTTTACTTTGAGTACAAAGATGTCGTAAAGCTCGTGCTTCACATATTTACAGCACAACCTAGAAGCCTGTCTTTACTAAATGATACTAAACAGGTTAAATACACCGTTGTACTGAAGTTTATGTCGAGGCACGCTCTGCCACATGCAGCCGTACATGGCCAAACGTATTCCATTATAGCAGGACTTTATACTACGAATAATAGAAGACTGGAGTCTCTGCAAAAACCTTAAACATCCACAAGAGCTTTGCTTACTTCTAAAATCTGTGACGTTTCTAATATAAAGAGTATTAAGAAAAAAACAAACACTGCTGAACATCTTCTCTTGCAAATTTCCTGTTTTCAGAAAAGTAAACTGAAACAAATGAAAACGCTCTGCTGTGACACACTGAAGGCTTTCCTGTTATAAAGCAGCAACATCAGACTGGTGCTGTGACGTGGGAGGAGCACACGGTAGGAGGTTCAAACACGAGCCGCCCTCACGAGAAGCCCGGGGAGCTGGCTGAGCGGTGATGCTGCAGGTGGGCTGTAGTGTTCGTGACACTTGTGGCGAGGCCAGAGGCCTTGAGCGGCGTGCTGCAGCCCTGTGCCTGTGGAAAGCGCTGGTGATAGCGGTCCAAGCGTAGATACTTCACCGTCACCAGCTTACCTGTGAAACAGAAGCAATCACTGCAGTGCTCCTCCATACATGAGCCAACCCATCACAGGGTCATAAATCATGAATATGAGCCACATGTATTCCCATAAAGCTGATTCTTTCAATGTTTGTGGCAAACTGGGCCTCTAGCAGATGCGTAGCATACGAGGGTTCACCTACAGGTTGCATTTACTTCACTGTCGGCCACGTGCATCGTCACTCAGAAAGCTGGAAAACTATCACGTGAAACGCCTGAAGGACGGGTTTTTGTCCTTCGAGCATCTAAATCATGTCTGTTGATATTTTTGTTAAATTGGTACTGCTGACATAAACCACAGTGATTTGTAGACAGTGTTTCAAAGAGTACAGATTATTGCTTTAAATGTGATTATTTATTAGACTTGATGTTTTGGAGCCACTGACGGATCCTCCAGCAGTGGTTTTTCAGTCTGGCGCTCGAATCAGTTTTAAATTTTGGTTTTAGGCACAAAAACACTTCTTGACTTGGATCAGATGCAGTTCCCTCTGACAGGCATCCAAGCAGCTGCCATTTTATTCAATTCTTACTTACAGGCCGACTCTGGAGTCACACTTTAACTTTCTTATGCGTGACACCAGACCGATTTCATTGATAGTATGCTGGTGTGTTTGGGCCTCCGTGACAAAACCATCTCACACTAATAACTTCTGTTTTTAGCCTAACATGTAGCCAATCTTTGTTGAAGTTCAGTTACTGATATCGATGTTAAAAATCCCCCAAATTAAATTCTCTCTTTTCCGTTTCATAGCCCTACCTTTAATGTTCAACACATATTTTAGTTTAATGTTCAAAGTCTTGAATAAGTTCCATCCTTGGATCGCTGTTCCCCTTCTTACAGACCATCCTTACTTATATCATTTTGTAGGGAAATCCTGCTAAAGCCCAGAGTGAATATCAGAGGCTCCTCAGTGTTGAAGCACAACATGTCCTGTTTGCTCTCATTTACAGTAGAAACTGATGTTAATCACAGGGTTGACAAACATGTTCCCTTTCTGTGCTCTTCATGTATCACATGAGTAATAATGGCTGTGCATTATAAAACCTTACGTGAGGGTTTGACATAGAAAACTATTTTTTCCAGTCATTCGTATAAAATTCTTCCATGTTTTTGGTTAAACTGAACATGTTCGACAGCAGCACCAGAGCTGTGAGCAGAACTGTTCTAAGGGGGAGATAATCTCGCATCTATCAGAGGAAATCAATCAGGTTATTTGGACGCTGCTTTAGACTCTGTGGGAACTCAATGAGGAGCAAATGTGAGCTGAACATGATTGTATTTCACAGCACGTCACTGAACTTGATCCAAACATCTCAGTGGTTCCTTTAACTGCAGCACGGGAGTAACATCATGGAGATGATCAAAACTTTGAAAAGCAGCTGTAATCCTGGCTCCTGTTCAGCAGCATCAATACTGGCGTGGACTCTGGCAGCAGCTCCAGCTGCACTTACAGTCCACTTTCATTAGGAGAGTTTTGGGAGATTTACCTACGGTATCTATTTGCTTCCATCAAATTCAATATGATCATTTTTTCTTAAAACTGTATATTTTCTCAGACATTCGCTATATTTCATGTTTTATTGTGAATAACATATCATGTGTGATTTACCATCAAACCAGGAGCCATGAAGCGCCTTGAAGGCTTTCCCTGAGTACTCTGCAGAGAGACACTTGACATAGACGCAGCCCTGTGAAGATAAAGGAGGCGGGAGTGACACGTGCAGCTAACAGCATTAAAGCCAAACTGTGGGCAGGCACAACGTACCTCTCGTGAGGTCTTGTCCACAGCTATATGGACAATGCCATCATTATCGCTGCATTTCTCCAAGATGGCCTCACGAATGGCTAGGTCCCAGTTCTCCCCCACCTCCCTGAAAACATCAGGTAACAAGAGCAGAAAGTCACGTCTGTAAACACTGAGGACAGAAGCATCAATCGTTTGTCACCTCTGTTCCATCAGGACAGAAGGGCGATAACAAACGTGTAGTTCTTAAAATGATATAAAACACCAGCTTCCCACAACTTTCCACCCAAAGCAGAGCTGCTGGACAGGACTTTGCTAAATGTGCAAGGAAATTGTTGCTTCAACCTTTAGC